ATTTTGTTGCTCTTTTTTTGGTTGGGGTGGCAGTGAAAGTTGTGTTTTCGATACAAAATATGGCGAATGAGAGTGTTATGAAGTTGTGGTTGGAAAGGTTTTTAATATTTGAAACCATATTGAAATTGTTGTTGGTAGGGTTCTTGATATTGTAAAGAAAGTTATGCATGTAATGATTGAAACATATGGATCATATATTTTAATTGTCATCGTATAATGAGTGAGATGGCAAACGGGCAACAAGCTGTGCCGCTTTTTTGAATGGTAAAGCTAATTCTTTTAAAGACTACATCCGAAGATCTAGGGGATATAACATTACTATGCATGATTCTTTGTACTCTTTTAAGAAGCTCTACCGCATCTGGTGCGAGGAAACCAAACGTATCAAATGCAAATGGTATGAACACGTGTTGATTTTCCATGCACGATTTCTCATGTTTGGTGACTTTGCCTGTAGCTGCTTTTAAAGCAGCATGTCCCGCCGTGAAACCCCCAGCCCTCAGGCCCACGAGAGGGGATACCCCTGTAAGATCTACACATGCGTGTTTCCCTCCGACCCATCCAAAAATCAAAATGTCAGCCGGTCTGAGGGTTGACCTTCCTTCTGTCGGGTCAGTCAAGAAATTAACAGGTGCCTCTTTCTTAGCGGAAACCCCGACACGCTTAAATATGTCAAACAAAACATCCCTAACCATATCGTGCCTGTATTTGAACCCCGGGAGTTCTTTACAGTGAACTGCATGCTCTCCAAAAGAGTCCAAACATGCCTTGCGACACACATGACATATCTCGTCAGTTGGGAATATGGGAATCATGAGTCGATATTTGAGAATAGTACGATACTCCACGGGAGACATGTGTTGGCCAAGCCCATCTATATGGATAGCCAGAAGAAAATCTTGAGCATGTGGTGCACGTAAGCACTGGAAAACCGCTTTCTGCCGAGCCGTCATGTCGAGATGCACTTCCATATCTTGGACAATTTTACGAAAAAGGGCACTCGCCAGTGTATTTTGGGATTTAGGTGGGGCGGTGTCTTTAGTAGTAAAATTGTTAAGGTCAAAATCTGGAAGCTTGTTGCGAAGGGATGCCAAGGCACAATCATAATCAGAATCCATACCATGTATACCGCTATCCCGTAAGATGTGGTCTTGCAATACCCAAGATTGGGCCCTTGAGGCAACAAAAGCATAGGAGGTAGCCTCTACTGCCGAGTATAAACCCAAACCCCCAAACCTAATGGGTAAGGAAGCAATTCGCCATTGTATGTCACCAAAGAAAGGGCCCCCACAAACCACAATGTCCTCAATCGCCCCGCGCAACCCATTGTCAAAGAATATTGCCGCCTCCTCCATGTGAACGGGTTGGCACGTCCTCAACCCAAAGAAAAGCTTAGCAATACCCATACAAGACCGAAGAAGAAGGAGCTCACTCTGGGGGTCAGACAATTGTGGAAGAAGGCGCATCAAATTCACAGCGTTTTCGGCTCTCTTTATGGATAAGCTGCGAATGAAACTAGCATCTCTACTAACAGCTCCCCCAAGAAGTTTCACCCCCAAAGGCGGCCTCCCGATGTCCGCCGGAAATAGCCCCTCCCGTAACTTCCTACCATCACACGAGGGCCAAAAGAGCTCGGTTTTCTTGATATTCAGCTGAAGGCCCAATTTTGGGCCAATCACCGTAATGATGTCCAATGCTTTGGCCACCTCCTCCGAATCTTCGATAAGTGTGCCATCATCCCAGTACCATGCATGGAGAAGAAGCTTGCAATTGTTTCTAAGCTTATGCAAGAGCGGGTGAAACACAATGGCAAAGAGAAGTGGTCCCAAGGGGTCTCCTTGCTGAACCCCAGTAGAAGACCGAATATGTGTGTTGCCTAGTTATAACCTTGCTGCTTGACCATATATGAATTCTACCCACAAGGAAATAGAGGGACACTTCAATCTGACCTCATGAAGTAATGCGGATCTGTCAACAAGGTTAAATGCATTAGAGAAGTCCACGGTAAGCATGGAGAGAGATTTGTCATCGTGGCGCTCACTTAACAACCTATTGGCGCTATGTAAAATGGCCTCAGCGCCACCCGACACCCCGACTCCGAACTGAAAATCATTGAGATATTTGGTCATTTCTTTACCAACCCCTTTCATGGCCAACTTGGAAACCAAACGTCTCCATATAGTACCTACTGCAATAGGTCGTATTCCCTTGTCAGGTTTTAAGAGCGGCGTGAGAGGAGCAGAGGCAACAAATTCTGCCAAGCTCGAAGGGCATCTTCCCCCTAGCCATAGATTAACCATAGAAGTAATAGCACGTAGGAGGTCTTTGGCTACAACCGAACCTTCTCCACAAAGGGCATCTAAAATGTGTTGAGCTCTCAACCCGTCCCTCCCACACAATGTACCTTTAGGGAAGATTTAATTCCCCCAAGGACATTGTCAACATCCACTACCAGGGGAGGTTCTGAAAATATGGTGTTGGGCATGGAAGGCGGTGGCTTGTATGGATGCTTATCCTCCAATGCCTTTGTGGTATCACCCCCAAATGGAGCAACCCCCGAAGAACATAAAACTTTCACTGTTGCTGTAAAATGTCCATCGGCAACCTTACGAAGACATTGTCTGACATTGGTGCTGCCCGGTGTTCTTTTCTCCTGAATGTACTCTTCTTTTTTATCTTGTTGCTCCAGTCTTGCATTGTCAACTAAGTTTTTAACTAGCTTGGCGATACCGTCTTCAGTCCCCCAAGTAGCTAAAGCGCTCAAGATATTACGATGTTGCAAAGACTTCCTGTTGCCAGACCTACTTTATTGCCTATTCTTGGGCCTGAACACCTGAAGAGTACACCTAGGAAGAATTAACAAAGCAACCCACGCTTCAACGGATCTGGGATGAGCAACCACCTTGGAAAGGGCTGCTTTCAAAGCCTGAGAGAAAGCCATACGACAGTTATGAGGGATGCTTTTGACAGTGGTGATAGGCAGCTTAAAAACACGATCAAGTAGTTGAGCATCCATCACCAACCCATCATTGAGGTCGGCTTCCGGTTCATTGGGTAGCGGCTTTGGAATGCCAACAATATGCATGCTCATGTCATCAGCCCCGTCAATAAACTTAATCAAGCCACCCGGGTGGTGACATGAACGACTCAGGGTATGAAGCTTCATGCAATCCCCACATATCCATTGACCAAACTCCTTCAAAGTTGCTGCCACAGACATAAACAATTCAATGTCAGAAGAAATAGCCTCCCGTAACACAGCTCTGCGTTCATCTGTATGGAGGTGTAAGCTCTTGAGATGAGATATCATACGGGAAATCCCTTTACTTCCAACAATACCATTTGGGCAACAGTGAAACCCCCAAAAAGGACACGGCCAAGCCCCGCTCTCAAAGGAATGAGAGGACGCCATAAACCAACAAATAAAGTTTATTTAAGCCTCAAGGTGAGACCCGAAATTAGAAGCACTAACCCAAAAGAAAAAGTGACACTCCAACAAAAGGCTGGAGTGTGCACAATGGAACCCACACCGGATAGAATCTCTACATCAGCTTGAGTCGAAAATTGGCAACAACACTTGAAAAACTCATTTAAGCATTTTATCAAACACTTGGCGGGCAGAAAAAAAAACACCTTGTTTGCATCACCAAGCCTTAAATTTTTTTTTGCCCAAATGCAATCTTGAAGCGGGAATCAAATAGCCCAAACTGATGAGTTATGTGCTACTGATGGAGTGGGGAACCCAACTTGCCACAGCTTAAAAAGATGATGAGTACCCTGCCTTCCTTGGAAGAGAAACATGACACTGTGAACTCCTAATCAATTCCAATTTGTAGTATAGCTGTGAATCCGATACCTTCCGATCATAGAACTCTAAATGCTTGCAAGCTCCGAATGTTCGGAGCGTTCAACAAAGAAATTGAGAAAACGATGATTTTGGGTTGCGAATTTGTCCATCAAAACTGAGAATGAAACTTCCGATTTCAAATGGTTACATTCCTAAATCGTTTTATTAAAAAAAGTGTTGAAATTTTTGAAACTTGAAAGGGTTGGTTCACCTAATTGGATGGTTATGGCCTATTGCATCGATTTGGTTGGTCGTCTAACAGAAAAAAGAAATAATTAAAGTGGGGTGTAACAAATATAGAAAGAATATAATGGTGTAACAAATAAGGTTGTGCATTATGCTATTTATATAGGTAAATGTTTGTTTAAAAAAAATTAAATTTATCAAAAAAAAAATGACATTAAACCGCTAATCAACGGGCAAATTCTTCAAACGTCTCCCATTGACCATTGTTACTCATGATAGGAACCACAATGGTCCACGACCATGACCCACAACAAGACACCGGGATGGTATTCATTGTTGTGGTTCATGGCCACATAAACCACAAAGAGACTCGTAATGAGCATTGAAGATGGTCTTATAGGTAGGAAGTGTGTAGCGGAAGGTGAAAAAGGGTATAAATAGAGAGCAACTCATTTGCCCATTCAAAAAAAAAAAATTAAATAAATAATTAAAACCCAAGAAAAGATATGTGCCAACTTTTATGCCATAGGTAAATTAATAGCTACAATAGCTACCTTACATATATCTCGAAAGTCCTTATGAAACAGCAAAGGCATCGGGTCTTCAACGCGGAACCGATAGCTTCCAAAATCCAAAACCACCATGTTACTTTCCGTTGACTTTAAGTTATACAAATAACGATTTACCTTTTCCTATTTCCAGAATAAATAGAATTTTATTTTTAAATATATCCAAAAAGACTTTTATCCCTCTCTAGTATGTATGACCCGCATCATTGATTGAATCCCATTCAAACTCAATAAAGTACAGCGTCCGTAATTCGCAACCTACAACTTGCCAAAGACATACTGCCCGCATACAGTCAACACTCAACCACACCACTTGCTTCCCGGAAACAACCATCCTTTTGAATCCACTTGGTCCCACTCGTTACTATATAACCTCCTTTAATCCCATCCACATATTCACACATCAATTCACGCTCCACTTCATCTTCATCATTCTCAGAAAATTAAGAAATCTTGAAACCTCAAAATGGCCAACAGATTGAACATGTTGCCCGAAGACTGTGTTTCCACTATTCTATCTCTGACTTCTCCAGCAGATGCATGCCGAGTAATACTTGCATCTTCTTCATTGAGATCAACAGCTGAATCAGACATTGTTTGGGGCAGATTCTTGCCATCTGATCTTGTTTATATTCTCTCAAGAACACACTCTCAAATCAACTTCTCTTCTATGAAAGAACTCTATTTCCAGCTTTGTGATTCCGTTCTCATAGATGCAGGAAGAAAGAGTTTTTCTTTGAGCAAAATAAGTGGAAGAAAAAGCTTTGTTCTATCCTCAAGAGCACTTTCCATTTATTTAAGCAATGAACCAAACCACTGGACCTGGTCAACACATTCTGCATCGAGGTTAGTTAATTTTCATTCAAAGTATTACTATTAATTAATAATTAATATACAATTACATTCAAAATCCTTAGAAAACATATGCTAACGTGCATTTAATTTTCATGAATTGTACAGATTTTCTGAGGTGATAGAACTTAAAAGTATATCAAGTATAGATATTGAAGGAAGAATAAGCACCCAAGATTTATCTCCGAATACCACATACGGTGCCTATCTAATCATTCAAGTTTCAGATCGTGCATTTGGGTTGGACTCTATTGCATCTGAGATATCAGTTTCCATGAACGAATGCTCAGTTTCCAACACTGCGTATTTATGCCCTCTAGATGAAAGAAAACAACTGCTCGGATCTTTGTTATATATGAACCGGAGGCGAATGATGGAGAAGCTAGTGGTGGAAGGAGATGGCCGACGTCCAAGCAAGAGAGAAGATGGATGGATGGAAATTGAACTTGGAGAATTCTTTGTTGGAGAAGAAGGTGAGGAGGTGATAATGAAATTAATGGAAGTGAAGGGCTATCAACTAAAGGGAGGACTTATCATTGAAGGAATTGAAGTTAAGCCTAAATGTTAACACCCAAGTTTTTTCATAATATTTTCTAACAATACGTAAAAAATCGATTTTTTAAAGAATTCAATTGTAAGTAGAAAGTAATAATTTTTTATTATTTTTTGAAGATGTGATATTTTTTTATGTAAGGAGAAACAATGTACTGTTAGCTATGTGGTTATTAACCACGTATCAATAGTGAGAAATTGGTAAATCACTTGTGTAAATGCAATTTTAAAGCACCTTTTTAGATAACTATACCAGATACAACCACTAGAAAAGAAAGCACTTTTAGCCACAGAGTTTGCGACAGACCAAACCCGGCACTAAATAGCAAGGGGTTATGCTATTGATCGGGCAAAACACACATGTGGCTAACGCAGACGATTAATTACTTACGCAAACAAATAATTTAAAAATTCTCTGTTAATGTCGCTAAAGAATAATAAAACATTAACTTTTTGGAAAGTAAATGGTATAAGGATAATCAGTCTTATTGATGAACTATTGACATATGTACAATTTCAATAGATTTTTTAGAAAACAAATGAATAGTAGGTACAGACGGATTGTCGACATGTATATCATTTCAATAGATTTTTATGTTTATACCTACTTACGAATAATATTATTATTATTATTATTAAAATAATAATGATTATATTATGGCTATGTAATTATGTACGTGTAGAAGAAACTTCAATTGAAAATAAAAAAGTTGATAATATGAGTCTCAGTCATATATTTGTTCACCTGCCGCTCAAGTCTACTGGCGCAATGTAGATGCAATATTCATATATGAATATAAAATTATATGAATATATAAATATTACATGGTATATTTGCATATAATTATTCATATATGATTTAATCGTATATGAGTATTCATTCATGTCTAATCACAAGTGATTATTCATATATGATTATAGAGTTTAGTGGCAGACATGGGGTGGTGGCCGTGGTGTCGGTGATGGTGGCGGCGGCAGTAGAGGTAGAGGTGGCGAAGGTGGTAGTGGTGGAAGTGATGGTGGCAGAGGTAGTGTTGGTGGCCGTGGTGATAGTAGATGCATGTGGCGGTGGTGGTGGTGACGGTGGTAGATGTGATGGTGGTGGTAGAGGTGGTGGAGGTTACAATAGCGGTTATAATGGTGGGGGAGCTGGCAGAGGAGAAGGAAAGTGATGGCCTGTATTTGTATATGTATCGTACGATGGAGCGCTAGAGTGGAAATGAAGAAATGTGTGGTCCATGTTCATTCTTGCATTTTCAACCTTTTGTTCATTCTCAAATGAACTTATCTTTGTTTGTACGCGTGTATTTGTATGTGTACGTGTATACGATTGTGTGTATGTATAACCATGTGACAATGTGTATGTATATGTGTGTGTGCGCGCGCGCACACACACACACACACACACATATATATATATATATATATATATATATGTGTGTGTGTGTGTGTGTGTGTGTGTGTGTTTGTTTGTATCTTTGTGTGTATCGTTGGATTTTATTAAAAAAACATTTAAAATATACTACGAGTTTAGCAACGAAGGATTTTAAAAGGAATAAAATTAAAACCATTTTAACCCATCATTGATCATTTTGCAAAAATGGAAAATTAAAAAAATCATAGGAAGAAAAGAAATATAGCCTTTGAAGACTTCGATTCTTCTAGGGAGGTTGGAAGTTGATGAAGATGGCGAAGACTCCAAAGTAGAAGCTCTCTATACGTATCCACCAAACAAGGGTTAACCACCAAAAGATGATAGTCTTCACTTGAATAATATACTTATTATGCCTTAAATAACTTATACCAAATAAGCCTTAACGGAGAAGCATATTAAGCACTCATTCCTCACTACACAATGCAAGAAGGAGGAAAGGGGAGGAGCTCATAAGCTCACGGTTATTAGAGAAAAAGAAGAGAAGCCTTGGAAAAAAACTAGCTAGTTTTTGTTCCTTACTATTCTTTATATACATCCATATATGTACCATGTAAAAGCTAGTTATTAATGAAGGTATGGCACATTAGGACAAGCATGGTGTGAAGAAAGGAATGAAAACACACTACTTTCTTCCCTTGGAAAAAAATTCATGGAAAAAGGGACAAAGAAGTGATGGTGATGTGTCTTTTACTCCAACTCATTAACTCGCATATTCATCCTTTCATTGTATAAGCTATCTTTATATAAATAAACTTCTATAAGTCCAAAAATGTGTAATTCTATATGAGTTACTAGTTGTTTTTCTCTCTTTGAAAATATTATTTCCATAAATAATAATTTTTCCAATTAAATACAATTGTTGATAATATTTATTCGTAATCAAATTCTAATAAATAATCAATAAGTAGTAGCTTTTTATAAGGTGTGACCCTATAGGATCATATATCATTAGCAAATATTATTCTATAATGAATCTTGGGCATATATATCTTTCATGTGTGTGTATGTGTATATGCATGATATGTGTATATACAGTTATTTGTATGTGTATATGTATGTGTATCTATATATGCCTACATGTGTATGAATATATGTATGTTGATGCATATCCGAGTTTCGTCTTTCAGCGATCTCACAACGATGAATGTGTAAGGTAGATAAAACCTAAGATAACAACACACAAAGTGAGTCGTTCACAGGGAAAGTTCCCAGGAGAACGCTCTGATGCTAAACTCAGATATGGGAAGAGTGAAATATGAGTGTGTAAAGTGTAGTTCGGCTAGAGTTCTGTGTACCTATACCGACCTACCGAGGCTCCCTTTATATACCGGGTCATCACGGGAATAGGCGATCTGATATGTACTATTCAGACGAGGATCTAATCCTCATTAATGCGTTCCTTGCCAAACATATAGAGTTGGTACTGAGAAGGAGTCACCGGTCATGTCATTTTGTTATTGGAGAACCGTTAGTGTGTCACGAGTAGAGTACGACCTGCTTCTTTTTAGGGTTATGAGTTGTGCCTCTATTGCTTGTACGTAACATTATTTTCTTTCTATCGGCTCTGTGTATCATGCATCGGCCTTCTGAGCCTAGTGTTATGGTCTGTGCCTTGGCAGACCGTGCGTCGGTCCACTGACTATGGTTTGTAGGTCCATGCCTCGGTAATCAGGTATGTACCTCATTAAGTCCTCCTCGTTCGGATTGGAGAGTGGCAATTCGAACTATCCGTTGTACAACGGAGACCTTTTCGAGGAGCGGATAAGTCCTATTTAGGTCATAGGGGTACTGATTTGACAGTTACCAGTTTCTTTCGCTCATCATTCCCCTATAACGCCGCAACCGTCACCTCAAATTTTACACTACATCCTATAAAGTCGGATGTAGAAAAAAGACGTCTCCCCTTTATCTGATAAAGTTTCCTTGTTCTTCTTTTCTCTCTCACTCTTTAGTCTCTCTTCTTTATAGAAACTTTCGAGTCCGTAATTTTTTATCATCGACTAAAGACAGCCTCCGAATTCACAATACCCTCTCAATCCTTAACCTGAATCAATTGAATGATCTGGTGAAATCCTTACACATAGATCCTCGGTTTCTCCCTCAACTTCCCTCTGTAATTTAAACCATCACCAGTCCTCCTTCACGATGTATAGGGGTTATTTCATCTTTTTTAGGTCAGGCTTACCGATTCCCGCCTTCCTTTTCTTTAAAACGGTCCTTGATTACTTCAAGATTCATATTTCACAAATAACCCAATGGTTTTCTCATAATCATGTGCTTTGTGCTATTGTGCAAGGCACTGAACATCCCTACTTCACTCTCTGTCTTCCGGTTTTTTTATGTGACTATGATCAGAAAAAGTTGGATCTCCTTCTCCCTTTGTCGCGGAGGGATCGACATTTGCGATGGTCTTCCTTCGTCCATCAAGAAGTTGAAGGAAAAAATGTTCTTTGTGGATGCCTCCACCATAACTACTCCTATGCATTTTGGGGATTTAGCAAACCAGGATACAGACCCTGCCCCTGAGTTGACCATTGCTGAACATGACGTTGTTAAGAGGATAATATCCAATTATCTGGTGTGGTCCAGTCATGACGAGTCAACTCTGAGTCTATCTGAATTGGATTGTTATTGACATTGTTCGTAGGTTTTTGGTGGTGACCATTTGTTACGTGTCCCACGGATGGTTCCACGTGATGCGTATCTAGGTTTCGCCTTTCGGCGATCTCATAACGATGAAGGTGTAAGGTAGATGAAACTTGAGATAACAACAAAAAAAATGAGTCGTTCAACGGGAAAATTTTGATGTGAATTATGAACATTGGTTTGGCATGCGGAATTAAAGAACACACAATGAACACGGTAATTTCGGTGTTTAAGAGATGCATTCGATTATGAAAGGTGTTACAAAAAAGGATCTAGATCTAAATCTACATAGTTAACACACACTAACACTCTCAATGTTACATCTCTCAAGTCCACCTCTACAAGTGGTATGAACCCACCTTATATAGAGGTGTTTACATCTCTCTCTCTCTCTCTCTCTCTCTCTTACTATTTCGCATGTCACAAGGCTACTTTACCACATGTAAGTGGGTCTACAAAAGTCAAACCGTTTAAAAATTCATACATGGATAACTTTGTACCCAACATTCTCCCCCTCAAAATTAGGAATGGATGACCCGCTTCAAATCTTCGAAAATCAAGCAACTACGTGAATCGAGCCTCAAACGTGACACATGTAGAGATGAACTTCAAATCTTCAATTCTTCAATGATTTTTCAATACGGGTTCTAGAATGTGAGACCATACAAACCGAGCATCAACGGATAATTAGGAGTTTCTCAATCTCCAAATAATCACCCTAAAGTTGAGCATAAAAACACACCCCAAAAATCTTCAATAAGTCCAAACCCATCATGAACCGAAATCACTTCCGAATTTCTAATCGAGTCATTTCATAAGCTTCAAATACTCGAGGTCACTTCGGTCTTCAAGTCTGCGTAATATGAAATATTCAACTTTCGAATTTCCATATAAATCTCTCCCCCTTTTTATGATCGAAAAATGATTATAAAACCATGAAAGGAATGAGAAAGTGCTCAATTCAGAATTTTTCTATCCAAAACTCCCCCTTAACACATGGCATAAACATTTTGCTTCAATCCGGAAAATCCAAAAAATCTTCAATTTTTAACTTCGTTCACGGACCGCCTTTGACAAAATTTCTCAAAATTGGGTAGAAATTGTCAATTTCAAAATTCTGCAGTGACCCGGTGCGACCAAAACAGCCAAAAATGCGAAACTCTCCCCCAATTGAGAAAATGGGTAGAAAGCGTAAATTTGCACAAACTGCCAAGGCTTGAAATGTACATTCTTCAATTTCTCAGAAAATCAGCCCATTTTCGAATTTGGGTATGGTCTGCCAAATTTTCGAAACTTCAGGTACAATTTTCGAAACTTCTGCACACATCTTCAAACTTTCGAAAGTTGAGTCCTCATTTCGAAAGTGGGTGCAAAGTGTCAATCTTTCGAAACATGAAAGACTGATTTCCAAATTTCTGCTCCATTTTTGAAATGTGTATAAAGTGTCAAGATGTCGAAATTTGAAAGACCAATTTCAAAGCTTTTCCTTTGCTTCCAAATTTTTTAAATTTTGTCCAACTTTCGAATGTAGGATTAAAATGTCAAACTTGCAAAACTTAAAGGTCTACTTTCGAAACTTTTATGTTTTCTTCCCCAATTCGTTTCCCAGTTAACGAATGTTTCCAGTTGCTACAAAACCTTCCTAACATTGACACAAAACCTTCCTTAGGTGAAATTCATTCTCACAATCAAATTTTCGAATCTTAGTAACCCAAATCCAAACTTTCGAAATTAACTCAAATGACTTTGAGTATCAACATTAAAATTTATAAAATTATACGTCCCAGTTCCAAAATCATCGACACCAGCATACAGTATTTCACACATCTACCCATCAAACCTTCGCTTTTTCATCACTGTATCCCAACAATCAATTACCTTCATTCACTTTCAAAATCCATGGCATCCATTCGTTATCAACCATATAGCCTTACCAAATCAACCAATAACGAACTCAATTTTGATCCAAAAACCGAAATCATAAGTTTCGACATCGAAAATAATCACCACAAAACGAAGTCTACCATCATCCCAAATCTTCGTTCTCAAGCCAAAACTATCAAACCATCTGTGTTCCTTCTGTTTTCCTTCCCAGATCAATTTCTTCGTTCTCAGTCATAAATGTTCGACATCAAAAACATAGATTCAATCAATTTTCTAAATTGAACCCCGAATCAAACATGATTTTGACATCCATAGCCCAAAAATAACTTGTACAAGCCAATTTCACTTTTCAATTCAATGAATCAACACATAGAAATCGAGTTTGACTTTTTCTGGGATTGACTTTTCGAAGTCAAACATCAATAAACACGAAATTGATGTATCTAATGTCCAATTTCAGATCAAAAAGTGTTCAAAAAACTATTCTAACAATGTTCTTCACAAAAATTTGAATGTTCCTGATCAATTTCATCAAACCCAAAAACTCAATTTTCGTAATCTTAGTTTTAACTTGATCACAATCGATCTTTGGGATTAAACTCAATGTAAAGAATCGATTCACAAGTACATCTCCACAAACAATCTAATCAATCGACAAGAGTGATGAAAGAAGAATGAGATTCCAGAACTGTGAATAGAAGAAAAAGTTGAATACAGTGTACAACAAACACATATATCTCGACTCAAGTAGACGATGGACTCAATCACATGAACAGTAGTGGATTCATTCTTTTGAATAATACTCAAATATCATATTGGGCTTCACAGTTTGGATCATTGAATAGTAAGCAGGTCAAGAAAGCAAACCAATGATGAACAGTAACAAACTTAAAAGGTTTTGGGCCAAATCGTGCTTGATGAACAGTAACGAATCAAAGATTTGGCTCAAAGTTGAATATGAACATTAATAAACTCAATATTTGATTTGTTTTTGGGTCAAATTTTGATACAAACGAATGATTGTAATTTGAAAATCAAATCAAACGAACAGTAGGGGCAACAGGGGCGGTAGGGGCAGTGATAGCATGAACAACCACAGTTTGTTGCTTCTTGGCTGTGTCTTGAGCGGGTTGCCCTTTCTTTTTGTGCCAAAACTTCCTCTTTTGTCACCTCCCTTTGGCTGCTCGGGCATGGGGGTTATGATGCCTTGACGAACTCCCTGGTCGACAAGAGTTTGCGCCAATTGCTTAGCCCTGTCGAGGGTGCTCGGGTTGGCAGATATGACCATCCCTTGGATCTGAGGGGATAGCCCCCAAATGTACCACTCCACTTTCTTGGACTCCGAAGTGACCATTCTCGGGCACAGGGTTGCTAGCTCGTTGAATCGGGAAGTGTAGGTGGCAATGTCGGAGCCATTCATGGAGTGTTCCCATAGCTCTTGTTCTAGCTTATGCATCTTGCTTCTTGGACAATATTCAACGAGCATCATCATTTTGCAAGTCATCCCAACTCATGGCATTGCCACGGGTAAAGTCAGAGTTCTAACGTGGCCATTCCACCACGTCAAGGCTGAGACTGCAAAACTACATGCATCATATTTGACCTTGAACTCGTCAAGACATGCACAAATTTCGAAGATGGACTCGGTCTTTTCAAACCATCTTGTTAGTGTAACGACTCCGCCTTCACCATGGTAGGTTCGGGGCTTGCAGTTCATGAACTCCTTGTAGGATCACACCCGTTGGTGCCCCTGATTGTCATCATGATTGGAACTGCCAGTCCTTTTCCCGCTTCCGTTGTCGTTTCCTTTGTTATTTTTGTTGTTGTAACTACTGATTTGGGCCACCGCGGCAGCCACAACAGCTATTATGGGAGCCTGGAACACCCCAGAATCCATTTGAGGAGGTGGTGGCGGTGGTGGTGATGCTGATTTGTTGGGAGGTTGTGTGTTGTTCTTGCGCATGTTTGACTTCCTTGGTGGCATACTTCTGCCATAAAGTTTAAACGTGGAATGTTGATAAGTTCCCGAGTATAGTTATGAGTCGGACATTTCCATAATGAAATGCCTTGTTTTGTGTCATGTCTAGTTGTTATTGAAATTTGCAAACAATTCACAAATGAAAATTTACTACAACAAGTAAATAATTGCATAACAAATAACAACATCCAATGAAATAAAAAGCATACCCATTTCATTGATAACATGATTGTAGTACATAGTTTTTGAAAATTTGACCTTTAATAAGGTCTACATGAAAGAGTAGCAATAACGCCTACTTGAAAATAAAAACAAGATATGAGTAGTACAAACCCTACTCGCGGCAGGTAGTCTCCTATGGGCCAGAGGATGAAGTCGAGGCACCCAACAATTCTGCTATCCAACGCTCATCTGCAACCATCCTCTCCTCAAGAGTCGTGTGCCTCTCCTGATACTCTCGTACTTCCGCTCGAGCGGTGGTAAGGTCCTCGTAGAGACTGTCAATGAGGTGGCATGTCCGAGGGTAGTCCCTCTCCATTATTCAGGTGCGTGCATCAGTGGCCTCAATAGCGGCCCCTAGCTCCATTATCTGATTTGCTGACGCCTTGGTCTGATCTCCGAGGTTCAAGATCTGCTGCACCATCACATGGAGCGCCCTGTCTGCTGGTCCTCTATGACGGAGGTTATAGAAACCTCGCTGCATGACGAATGGAGAGCGCTGGTGTTGCTTCCTGCTCCACCTCTCCACGTCTTCCGCCCAGCGGGGTGTGGGTCCATTGTAGCCCAAGCGGTGTGCAGGAACTCTAGCGATGTAAGGAGTATTTATGACCTCGGACTCCGCTTCCGAGTCCTCCTCTTCCTCTTCCTCTTCCTCTTCCTTGTCTTTTTCTTCCTTTACCTCTGAATCCTCTTCAGGTTCTTCTACGGGTTCTTCTTCCATTAGTTCCTTAGGATCCTCATCAATCCACCCACCATTTCCCTGGTTAGGGAAATAGGGGTCTCCGGGCATATGAACTCCCGCCATGGTGTCTGTGCAAGAATAGAGATATAAGAAAGACATGAAAAGTTTAAGTGTATGACTCTGTAATATTCTAAAATACTCCTATAGTATTTTTAATCTTTATTTT